AGCCCTGAAATTACCCCATTTCTGGGGAGAGAATCTCGTCTGACAATCACGATTTCCATCATTGATTGAGCAGATCCGGTCGTTGCTTACGTAGAATGGTTGATATGCAAAATCCAATTATAAGACTTGAAAATGAGAAAATGAATCCCTTCTATTTTTCTTCGACTAGTATGTAAAAGCCTAATATTTTGATTATGTACCAAAGCGTAGTTGACCAACTCACGGGTAAAGGAAATGAATGGTTGTAGATGCTTCTAGTTTGAGAAAAACTGTGTAACAGAAATCACTCATATGTTCAACCATTTTGAGTGTTCACGTCTATTACGAATACCCTATCAAAAATGTAAAAAAAAACNAAAAAAATAATGAGTGAATAGTAACAATGAAAACGAAAAATAGAGCGCCCGTCAGAAAATGAAAAATAAAAAATTCTTGATTTTACATCTTCTGTATTTCGTATTAATATAACGAAGCTGACGAACATATGTGAGTTCCACATTTTAGCCCCAAAGGGGCTGCGCTAACAAGCTTTTTCTTTTCATCTTGCATGTTTAAATCATATTTATTGAATACAAAAGTTCAAAAACACAAAATAAATCGATATGTTTTATTATCATATACTAATCAGTTTTTTCAGACTCCATCCAATTTTTGTCATTTCCAGCATTCTTCAGTACCATTGGTGCGTATTGTTGATTCGTCAAATTTGCATTGTTAGCGATTTGGTTTTCATTTTCCTCATCATTGCTATCATCCGAATTCAAATAACAATAAGTGATAAGTCGAATCTATTTATTTCTTTGTTAATCGATCGTCAATATCACTTCAACATCACTTCCATCGGATGACGATGAATCATCGTTTCTATCGAATGGCAAAATATCTCCACATGAACTTCATCTGTAAACCGATCGACTAAGAATAATGCGAACACAGAAGGCAAGTCTGATTTGAAGCTGTCAAAGGTTTGTGCAGAATTGACCAGGAACTATGCGATTCGTCTCCGGTTGAATAAAAGTTCCACAAATGTAACAAGCACACCAGTGTGATGGATGGTGTTTTAAGGACAAATCTAAGGTAAATTTAATTGCCTGATCCGCAACATAAATAATGACTAATGCGTACATCAGTGTTTCTTTTCTCACTCTTTTGGCGAAGAAAATAACGACAAGACACAATAGCACATGTACATGTGCATTCCAGAATGAAAGAAGATAATCATCGTGTCATTAACCAACGATACACAGATAAAATCAGCAATGATTAATCTTATCTAAGCTCTGGAGTTCTTCTTAGATCAATTATTCACAACTTTTTTGGATTCTTCTAGTTAAGACGGCGAGGGACTTGTAATACCTGAGAATGTTTTTTTACGGTTGAAGATTTACGCTTTCTCTTGTTGTTAACTTGTTGCTACGTTGGTGGACGAAGAGATGATGTCAATATGATGAGGAACGCATGAGCTAACTTTTTTCTATTTATAATTCTTTCCTTTCGCAACATTTAGCATTCCATTCATTAACTATCTGCTCATTTCTTTGTCATGTTTCTTTGAATGGATGCTGTCTCTTATTTTTTGCTATATTTTCTTTGATGACCTTCAGTCTCATTCATTCTTTGCATCAGCCTCATGGTTGTATGGTTACGTTGCTGGGCACGTATCCACAAGGTACTGTGTTCAAATCTCGATGTCATCAACCATGGAGTGGTTCTGGAGAGATGACTTACGACTATTTGTCTCAGACCACCCGTTCGATAGCATGCTGGCCATGTTGTAACATACACTTGCTCTTGTGGCTAGTACATGTTTAGCTATTGCGCATGAAGAATCCAAGCAATCGAGTACAAGAACTTTGCGTCAGGTTGACCTTCTGTTCTGAGCTACAGCTAGTACTAGTTATAGGAAAAATATGAAGCTATTCAATCTAGCACTAGGAAGCATCCATACTGCAAGGTAAGAGTATTCTATCTTATTTCTTTCATTTGTCTGCCTTGCATCAAACTCTTTTCATTAAGAATGTTCCACTTCAATGCTCCTTTTTATTCTGTTAAATCAGCATCAAACTTATCATCGACATTAAGATAAGAAGATTTTTGAAGGGGATAGAAAAAAATTATTGCGTTTGATTTTATCTCAATCTTTTTACTACTTTTCTAGAAGATTTTTTCACACGCTGCGCTTGGCGAACATACACTTCTTCCAAGTGCTGTTCACTATTATCCACTGTTGTCATTCGCATATAGGTTTTTTGCCTCTCGTGATATACGCACTTATCAAACAACATGTTATTTTTATGACGCACGATCATTGAACGGAATTGTCACAAAAACCGAAGTCAATTTTCTTGACTCCACTTATTTGAACTGTCAGTTTTCTGATCGTGTTAAGGGAGTTAGCTATTAAAAGAATCAGAATGACTTGTTATGATAATTTCATTCAATAATTTGCTGTCATAAAATCATATACTGTATTGACATTCAACATTCGTCACGTCATCAATGAAAGTCGACTTAAATATCAGACGTGACGTTGTTCTATTCGTTCAAAACGAGTAACATCGATGTTTTTTACATAATAATTGATATTCTTCTACGATGATGAATAATGCAACGTTATCAGTAAAATGCAACTCTAAGAACATCAATGGTGTTGCATCATTGCTCGATATGCTTTACAAACGAGGTTTGATGACTTTTTGTTGTCAGATTCGATGAGTTCCATCATTGAATCGAATAAGAAATATTTGATCGTTCTTCTTTGTTTCATCAGGTCATTTCCTCATCTTCATACTGCCAGATATAACAATAGGCATGACACTAAATTGATACACAATTTTCGAAAAGGATACAGTACTGGCATAACTAGCCTAGCTTTTTATTCTTACAGCAAATAATGAAGTCAGGGTTCGCTACCAAAATAATACATTTGTGTTTATGCTTTTCTTTTCTAATTATCTTCCTTTCGGTATTGTCTCTATCTTAGCAATCAGCGCAGATTCATGACATCAATCAGAAAAACACATTAATTCGTCGACTCGCTGTATAGAGTAAAGCTGATTAATCGATTTTGCTCTTGGATGGCAACAATCGAAAAAAAAAGGATATTCTTATTATCTTTAGTCTTTCGCATGCTTGAATAATTGACGCTTTCACACATTTTTTTAATGTTTTATCAAAGCATGTCAAAAAATACTTCTGGCGTTGACTGTCTTATTTGATTATAGTATGCAACATGTCATTACAGTCTATTCTGACTGAATATTAATCGTACATGGGCTGCAATCCATCAAGAGTGAGCTTCACACCGAATGTAATTATGGCAGATCAAAGTCATCGTCTTGTCCAAGAGATTTGGACTCATGTTTGCAACGAGCACTACGAAGAAGTCGGAATCAGTTTCATGATTCGGTATATTTAATTATGATTTGAGTAGCATTATTAAAGCTTTTTTAATATTCTTCAGTATTTTTCAAGCCTATCCTGAATTGAGAAAGTTCTGGATCTTCGCAACTAATCTTGATACGGAGCATGAAATTCGAAGTAATGCACAAACACGTTACCATGCTGCAAAAATTATGTATACTCTGAATGAAATCATCAACAATATCGAGGATTATGACAAAAGACGAAAACTTCTTGAAAATCTTGGCAAAAGTCATTTTATCTACGATGTAAAACCAACCGATTTTCAGGTACTATGAGCCAATTAAAACATATTGTTTCTTTAATGATTTCATTTGAGTAGGCGGCCAAATTCACCATGGAAAGTGTATTAAGCTCCATCCTAGGCAAAAAATTTACAGCACGTCACAAGCAAGCATGGTCGTATCTCTTTCAGCAAATCATTGTCGATCTTGGCAGAGGTGTTGAACAACAGGCAGCACATGATCATGCACTCAAGAGAAACTGAAACACTAGCAATGAAATGCCCGTATAATTATTGTGTGTGAAAATTAATGTATTTTTATTAGCATCACAATGTTTAAGAAACCTTCACGAAAAAATTCGATGTGAAAATGGTGTCCTTAATAAACTTGTCAAATAGTCAATTCTATCGAGATCTCATTTGTCGGATCATGATAGACTAATATTTGTCTTTTACACAGATTTTTCACATGTACATCTGACCAGAAAAAACATCTTGTGGTTAACTCGGCTAACAAATGGCTTTAAAAAAATTTCTGACATGAATTTTCAAAAACAATTAACTTCGACAGTTTATAAAAGATTCGCAAAGTTCTGTTGCAACTTGTAAATATAACGTTTTTGGTCATGCTAGTGACACATGAACGGTCACCTTCATTGCTCGACATCAAGAATATGAATACAATTGAATCATCATTTAATTGCTATCAGCGCCAGAATTCAACGCACTCGGATGTTTTTTGAATAACTTATGATAGGAACAAGATAGAGACTTGAGGTTTTCAATGGTTCATAGTCAAGATCTAGGAGCATATTTTCATAAGCAAAATCGTTTTAGAGAATAAATCCGAACACTGCCTTCTCTGAGGATCTTTGAAAAACGAGGCTGAATTTCTGACAACTGTCATAGTAGTCTATTGATTTCTTTATATGTGTAGATAATCCAGAGTGTTTCCTGCAAAACTAGATCTAAACAAAAATTCTATCTTGCAAGCTTTAGACAAATCAGATAAATTTCTCGAAGCTCTAGGAATCTCCTCTCTTTAGATATACTTGTATTATAAACATATGAAGGCATAGATTGTTGACTATGCTGAACATTGTGGGAATATTTATTTTCATTTTAGAATTACATCTTTTTATTGATCACATATGAGCATTATTAATATATGGTGTTTCCTTATGAAGAGATGCTCTTATGATGACTTATATACTCTTTTTTCCTAGAATAGAATGAAAAAATAAGAAGAAAAATAAGTCTTTTTGTGTTAAAGAGAGAGACAGAGAGGAATATCTGCACAATCAGGTGTGTTATGGTCTTCACTTTCGATAATAGAATGTACGTTTCAGTTTGAATGATATTTAACGACTTTGTAATGAATGGTTATCAACAAGTGATCCTGAGCATGTCTGCTGGCTATGTTGCACATGTTTATAAACGTGAAGAAATAGTTAAAGCCGCAGACAATAATGCTCAAGAATTAGAAAAAGATCTGATTGATAGTGACAGCAATATTGGTGGCAACACATTAAACGATGATGATGATGAAACTGATGATTGAAATATTTTTTAAGTGGGCTATTGTCGTTCCTCATATGTTTCATTCTATTTCAAGAAAAAGAGTAAATAAATCATCATAAGAGCATTTCTTCATAAGGAAACACCATATATTAATAATGCCCGTGTATGATCAATAAAAAAGACGTAATTCTAAAACGAAAATAAATATTACCAAAATGTTCGGCATAGTGAACAATCTATGTCTTCATATGTTTATAATACTAGCATATCTAAAGAGAAGAGATTCCTAGAGCTTCGAGAAATTTATCTAATTTGTCTAAAGCTTGCAAGATAGAATTTTTGTTTAGATCTAGTTTTGCAGGAAACACCCTGGATTATCTACTCATAGAAAGAAACCAATAGACTACTATGGCAGTTGTCAGAAATTTAGCCTGGTTTTTCAAAGATCCTCAGGGAAGGCAGTGTTCGGATTTATTCTCTAAAACGATTTTGCTTATGAAAATATGCTCCTAGATCTTGACTATCAACCATTGAAAACCTCAAGTCTCTATCTTGTTCCTATCATAAGTTATTCAAAAAACATCCGAGTGCGTTGAATTCTGGCGTCGACCGTAGTAGTAAACTGCTCGTGATCTTGATTGAATCCTGCTTCTCATTCTGTCAGAACCTTGAAATGCTCTGACTACGATTTCTTCAAGGTCTACGCGTTTCCTCAGATAAAAAGAAAACAGTGAATATTTGCAGGACACTTGTTATGTCTGCCAAGGATCTATTGCGAAACTACTAAAGATTCTCTCTTGTGGTCATTTATCAGTAGTAATCTATATGGAAATAATTATGTGAATAGTAGGTTGTGGGTGTGGATGAAGGAAAGACTGACATCCACACCTACACGCCAACCCTTCATTATTGTGATATGGCACAGTTTGTTTTTTATCTATTTTGACACTTTCGTTTTCAAACTTTACGACCATATTCACCTTTGTATTTTCTAACGAATCATTTGTTCGGTTATATCATCAGATTTTTTTCTTCTTGATACATTAGTATCAAGTGCTTGTATCATTATTCTTTCTCTTGTAAATTAATCGCAATGAAACTATTCAGTTTCTTATATATGACAGGAACAATAAATAATTATTTGTTTACGACCAGTAACTTTTTTCTTTCTTTGTAAACATGGAATTGCATTCAGTAAGAATATAAGTATGTGCAAAGCTTTTTATGGGTGAGGGTGTGGGTGTTGATGTTAGTGAGCAGAAGACTGGCATTCATACAGTCACACCGACGCTCAGTGTAGTACTATCCTTCTCACATTGCATTAACAACGTCAAAGTAAATCCAAGAAAAAAAGAAACGTTATGTTTCTGCTCAAACTGTAAACAAGCCTCAGTCAAGAAGAGATACTTCATATGAATATAGTCAATATAACGTAGTATTATGTATTCTGAAGGTTGTTTCACATCCTAACACATGCTAGATGTGTGTTGAATGACATATGCCACGATATTCTCTAGGCAACGAACGTTGATTTGGGATTTTGCAAATTATTTTTTTTATTTAAAATAATCCTGTACTCTAAAGAATTAACATATATTTTCCTTTCTATAATGTTGTTCAGTTTTTAAATACAAAAAATAATTGTTGCGAAAAAAAAAGAATTATCTATCAATTTCTTTATAAAAATTAAGAAATGATAGTGATCTAGACAAGAAATTTATTTAAGATAAAATTGTGGGCATTCAACAAAATAAAATTCATTTGTCTTCTTTGATCGAATCTTCTCACGTGTTCAAGTCTAAAAGTAAGTGTCTGATCAGCAGTAAACGCTTTTTGTGATATGTGTGATGACAATTATCTCCAAACAATTAGTCTGTTGCACAACAATGACAGAACCATGAACTTAATCGATCCATGCAAGATCTACAACAGAAATATTTGATAAACATATCAAAATATTAGTGAATAAAGCAAATAATACGTATACTTTGGTTTCCCAGGTGTAAGTCTCAATGCACATGATAGCTTGAAAAGAAAAAAGAATAAATCAATGGAACAAATGCTATTGAATATGTACTTCATGCTTTTTAATATCAATTGACTGATATTCAGTATGGCAATATGTGCATATGCTACGAGGAACAGGTCTGTATGAAATAATGTATGAAATGTCATAATAATCATTGAAGAATAACTGTATGTATACTTTAGAGACCGCGGGATATCAGTTTCCGATTTTGGTAAACGTGGCGCCTTTAATATAAAATAAAAATCGATCAAATCAATGATTTCATTTGCATACTTCATCAGTTCTTATTTCAGTCACTGGATATTTGCGACTATGATTGCTGCTATCTTTTCGTATAATAGGCCTATATCGAAAAATAACTTTGAATATAATTACAGTCATTAATATATAACTCTTCACGTACTCAGGAGGCCGACGCACAGGAGTTTCAGGTTTTGATGGACAGAATTTCTTGAAAAAAACATTTGATAATAAAAATCACTGTTTTATTCATACCGAATGATCTTTTATTTCAGTATCCAAATATTCTTGATCGCAATAACGACAACGAGTAAGCCGAAGAGATCTGTATAAAAAGAATCATCATGATTAATTTGTGAAAAGTAATTGTTACCATACTCAGAATTAAGAAGAGGAGTAGCTCTCGATGAACAAGATTTCTTTGAAAGAACTATATTTTTATATATAAAGTAGTGTTGTGTCTCTACCTGATGATCTACTATTTCATTGTTTTGATATTCTTTGCTACAATAGACACAACGAGCAACAAGAATAGGCCTGTGTCAAAGAAAAAGATATTGTAACACATATAACAAAAAATAAGTATCCATAAACTGAAAATATTTGACATACTGAGGTCTTAATGTGCATGTTTTCTACAAAACAAAATATCAGTTTGTAAAAGTTAACAATAATGTTTATACCTGATGTTCTTCTAACTGACTGCCAAGAGATCGTTCGCCACAATAATTACATCGAGTAAAATGAACACGTCTTCTCGAAAAAAACCAAAAAGAAATTATTACGATAATCATTTAAAAAAATATTTTCTTTCTACTTGTCTGATGGATTTGGGTTTGATAAGCATGATTTCTGCAAAATAATGCATATAATAATGATCTCAATGAGATTATCTATACCTCATGATTGTTTATTTCATTCTCTGAAATCTCATTGTGACAGCGATGACAACGTATGTGATTGATAATGCTAAATAAATTAAAGATCATATACCAGAGAAAGTCATAAATAAAACTTGATGAATTCGGTCCGATTTATTTTCTCTTTTGTTCTTTCCATTTTATGTTTAAACTCTAACGCTGTAAAAAATATTCATCGTATATTAGTAGTCATTTAAGAACAAAAACTAGCTCTACAGCAAATCAAATATTGTACTATATTTCATAATATTTTATTCTTAGAAACCCATCAAAAGAAATATTTGTATCACTACTCCCATAAACATCTCGTAATGGCTCATACAATTTGAAATTTCTATTAAAACAGTTATAACAAACTTTTAAACTCAATTTCGGTAAATGTTCTTCAAATGAGTGATGACTACGGTTACTTTTGTTTTGAACCGTCTCCTACATTAACATATCAAAATTACCTGCTACACAATAATACTTGAATAAATTAAATAAATGGGTGCAAATTTCAGTTCAGTCGCTTACTTAAAATCAATTTTTAAAAGCTGAATCTTCAATTGTTCAAAATTGAATCGTAAACTTGGTTCATTATAATGACAACCTTCTATGATGCTCCATAGTCGACTATCACATTCCTTTGGTTTTGATAATACCTTGTCATTCGATTTTCGGCGATGAATACCCTCATCACTTGTATGACGCCCACAGGGAATGGCTCCTTTAGAGCAAGCTTGCCACATCAACACACCCATTGAATAAACATCAGATAATTCATTATATTTCGATTGATCTTTACTTCGACGAATTTCTGGTGCATAGTATTGCATTAGAATCTCAGATACTCTTTTGTTTGAAACTGATTCATCCTTTTCACAAGCCATACTAAAATTAGTTAATTTAACAACATTTCTTGTTGAATCAGATGAATTCATTTGAAACACAAGCACATTCATACAACGCAAATCACCATGTACAATTCCTTGACTAACAATATGAATCATTGCGTCGATGATCTGTAAAAATATTGTCACTAGTACTTTTTCTGATGGTTGAAACATTCCATTTTGTAATACTGCTTGCAAATCACCATGAGGTGCTCGTTCTTGTAGTAACATAGTTAATTGAAGATCATTTTTCACCAAGCCAAAAGTATGAATAATATGAGGATGAGAATTAAATTTCAAATAAAATGAAATTTCTCGTTCTGCTGTTTCTTCATCCATAACAATTAGAATGATTGGTGAACCTTTCTTTGGAATCCAATCTGCTTCATAAAACTTGCCATTATTGCCATTAAGTGCACGTCCCTGTTTGACATTGACATTTAGTTCGTACTCATATGTTTCTATTGAACTAGAAAATACAAATAAATTTTAGCTTGTTGAAGATAAACTTTACATTTTATTGTGATATTTAATCACCTGTAAATCATTTGTTATCCTTTTCTCTTACCCGAGACGAACATTGGAAAACCGCTGTTTCATTTCATTGAAATCGTATCGTATTGTGGGTTCATTGAGCCAACAATCTTCCATGATAGACCAAACTTGCCTATCGCACATAAATGGCTTTGGTAGTTTTTCGCCCTTCAATTTTAGTTGCCGAACTTCACTGTTAGTTTTTAAGGATTCATATGGAAGTTTTCCCTTTGAACAAGCTTCCCACATCAAAACACCCATTGAATAAACATCTGATAGTTCAGAATAATTTGATTGACCTGCACTTCGAAGAATTTCTGTAGCACAATATCTTATAGGAACAGGAAGTCGTCTATTATCAACAAATGATGAGTCGTTTTTATGTGCCAAATCAAAATTAGTAAGTTTAATTAAGTTTTCTGTTGGTTTAGATGGATTCATTTGAAAGACAAGAATGTTGGTACAACATAAGTTACCATGTACAATACCTTTGCTAACGACATAAATCATGGCTTCTACAATTTGCAAAAAGATTGCAATGAGTACAATTTGCGATGGTTCAAATTCTCCATTTTTTAACAATACTTGAAGATTACCGTGAGATGCTCTTTCCTGCAATAACAAAATTAATCCACGATTGTTTCCAACAAATCCAAATGTGTAAACAATATGATTATGAGGATTAACGTTTGTGTAAACTAATGTTTCATATTCTGACGGTTCTTCTTTCATTACAACTAAGACAATTGGTCGTTCTTTTCTTGATATCCATTCTGCCTTATACGTTCTACCAAATTGACCATTCAATGAATCATGCATTTTAACGTCAACGTCAAGTTCATATTCATATTCATAATGTACTGGTGATCTTAATGAAAACATTAATCAGTTTATTCCAATATAGACTATAATTATTATTCTCATCTCTATGAAAGTTTTACTGTTGAATATCAAAGTTTGATTACCTTCAAACTAAGCTTTGACGAATTCTTTAGATTGATATCTTGAATTAGCACTGAACATAATATGGAATCTGTAGTCATCTGATTTTTTATGAAGATATTACAGAAATTGTAGAAAGTATTCATGGAAGAGTTTATCTATTCGTTTTAAAGTACTCTTCAACAAGCTGATCTTACACAATGGATAAGACTAGAGTTCACCAGGTCAGTCCTCACCTTGGATCCAACTAAAATCATATTCAGAACTTTCAAATTTCATGCCTTAACGACAACCTAGTAGTTACTCACATTATAAACTATCAATTCTGAAGTTTATAAATTGCTAGACAAATTGACCGGCTTATTCTTCTTCTTTTACTACAAAATCAGAACGCTTTGATTTACGATGCAGAATCTTGTTTTGTCTTTTAGATAATGGAAAAAATCTAGAATAGCGGATATATGGAATATAATTTTATCTAATAAGTAAAACTTAAAGTAGAATAGATAAATGTTTCCTTTCGATGATTGAATATTTCTTAATTATTCTAGAAATTAGTGGAAAAAGAAAGTGACAACCTATTAATATCTTTTAATAATCTTCTTCTAGATCTGAACTAAGAAAAATTTCTTACTCGTGAAATGAAACAGAACTTCGAGAATCTCTGTTCTCAGAAACTTTCATATTCAATAATCTTTGTGTAATTTGTTCAAAACTAGGTCGATCTTTTGGGTTGTTATGCCAACAATTATCCATAAGATTACAAAGCTTATTATTCCAATTATTTGGCTTTGTAAGTTTTTTATTGTTTAATTTCATTTGTTTGACTTTATCATCTTCAGCTATTGATGAATATGGAATTTCACTATTTGATAAAGCTTCCCAAATGAGAACACCCATTGAATATACATCAGATTTTTCTGAATAATTTGAATGACGATTATTTCGAAGAATTTCTGGTGCACAATATCGAATTGGAATACCTAATTCATTTTCATGAGCAGGTGGTTGATCGATCCAACGTGCAAGACCAAAATCAGTTATTTTAACTAAATTTTGTTTCGGTTCAGATGAATTCAATTGAAAAACCAGTACATTTCTACAACCTAAATCACCATGTACAATTTTTTTACTTGTAATATAACTCATTGCATTAGCAACTTGTGCAAACATTTCCACAAGCATGGTTACAGTAATCTTCAGCTGATTATCCATTAAACAATCAGCTAGATCACCTTGTGGTGCATATTCTTGAATAAATATTGTTAAATTCAAAGAATTTCTGATTGAACCAAACGTGCGAATAATGTTATGATGATTGTTCACTTCTAGATAAAAGTTTGCCTCACGTTGTGCTATTTTGTCGCTCATTTCGATAATTATAATTGCTTCTTCTCTTGTAGTTGTCCATTTACCAAAATAAATTTTTTTGTCAGACATCGTATAAAGCGGACGTCCTTGTAAAACATGAGCACCATATTGATATTCTTCTAATTTATATTTTAATAATATTGCCATTATATTCTCAAGTATTTGGTTTTGATTAAATTAATGTAATAATCATGAACTCTGAAAAAATAATATCGTGTTTTGTTACTTCATAAAACCTTAGACTTGTGTAGATTAAACAAATAATGAACATAATGAACTAATATATTTCGGCTCTAGCTACTTTAAAAAGACTAACCGATTTACAAAATCTGTCTATGATATCTTAAACTTCATCAGGAAACGACATTATTAAAATTTGACTGAGAAGATTCGTTTTGTACAAATGAAACTACTGTTCAACCTTCAGATATATAGACATATTAATTCCTCAAAATAATAAAGAAATGGCATGTTTCTCTTACGATGTAAAATGAATTAATTATAAAAATATTCGATCTTTTTTTTTTTTGAGAACAAAGCAGCTAACATTTTTAAGTGGTAGAACTCATGCGGTCCGGGTAGGATCCAGTTCTGAAAGTTCTCTGTCGACCGGATCATTATGAAAGCAATGCTCTAACTATAAATCACTAGGAATTCTCTTATAAATGCCCAAAAGCATTGTATAGTTGATTGTTATACGGAAAAAAATTTAACAGAGGTCTCATTTCTGTATTATGTTATGTATGAATTTTCTCAACTAGCTCAAAAGTTTTTTTGAATTAAGATAAACTGATTTTATTCGTTTGCACTTGATGTGTTTGTTATACAACTATTTCTTTCTTTCGTAATATTTAAAAACATTCTGTTGTGCTATAATCCTATATTTATCTCAAGAACAGCCCTTTTTTAGCAATATATTTTTGAACGTGATATTACGACATATTGGTCTACATGTTAGCAGATTTTTATTTTATTAAAAGACGTTTGTATTCAAACTATGTATCCAAATATTCATTTAACTCGTTTCTACCATGAACACTCACAAATGCTGTTTTTAGATGGAGTATTAATAAAACAAATCAGTAAAAAAAACACATACGCCGCATTTATTCATTCAGTATAGATGTTATTCTTAAGTTTTGACTATTACAATTTACCTTTGCGTTTGCTCTTCTGAAAAAGTAATCAATGTAGATCAAGAAATGTGCACATGTCTGCTTGGTTTTTTCCATTTTCTTGTTCTCTTGTAATGCAAGTTTTTAATAGCAAGAAAAAAAAATGAAACAAACGACACTCTAAACTCTTGATAACAAGTCGCAAGAAGTAAGTTTCTTTTCCAACAAATTATTTTTATTGCTATTATCTATAATAGATGAAACATGCAACACAATAGAAGATCTGATGATGTAAATATTTTGTTATCAGGACAGACAGGTGTCGGGAAGAATTCATTTATAAATGCATTTACAAGTTATCTTGTTGATGTTAACTAGAGACGGCTATGAATGGTTCTATCCAAGTATTCATACCAGCTTCATTTTCTATTACCAATCTATATACATTTGAAATAAAAAAAATTAAAAACTGATGAAAATAATCATCGAGAAAAATATAATAAAAATTGATGAATCACGTTCACAAATATGTCAACATTTTTTATTTCCGATTACTCATTGATATCTACGTTTAATCGATGCATGAAGCATTATTAGCATACGGGAATTAGAAAGAGATACAAAAAAAATCCGAGATATTCATGCTTATTTTAGTCAACATGGACATGTGAATGGTCTCTGTATTCTACTCAAACCAAAGATGGAACAATCATCAATTATATTTCGTTCTTGTATTATAGAATTACTTCATCATCTACATATGAATATTCGATAAAATCTTATGTGTATGTTTACAAATATTCGACCAAGTTTTTTATAGGCCTGGAAGTACAACTAATTTTTTTAAAAACATTTTCTTAATGACTTACGTAAACATACTGATATTGATATATCTTTTTCAAAAGATAATACATTTTTATTCTATAACAAACCATTGCGTTTCTTAACTGCATATAATAACAAGTTTATATCACTTAGTCATCCAAGAATAGTGTGTGCAAGTGACCAATGTATGTATTCAACTTATTATTGTTTAATGGTGTGGAAAAAGTTGATTACGGGAAACATTATTATCCTAGTTGTTATATTCATCATCCTACTTTACAACATTGTGATATAATGAACAAAAGCATAGGTATCCTATTATGTTTTTTTTTTAACAAGAGTTCTGAAAGAAACTTTATTTCACAGATTACAAGGAGTTTATTTTCTTGTTGTGATGAAAGATTTGCTAACAAAGTTAGACTTATTAGTAGAGATGTAAGCTCATTGATTGAGCCGTCCTCTCCAAGGATGTTCACGAAATTTTTAAAACGTCTCAGCCGTCGCCATTTCTCTAAATAGTTGATGAAAATTCTAGCTACTATCGAAACATCAAAGTAGATGCTAAGTTTTTGAAAATTTTCGACATATAGGATCAGTTTTCATGGGTTATTCTTGTCCAATGTTCGCTACTATCATTGATATCCCTTTTTTCGTTTCAAGATTTAACGGGACTAAGAAAATTTCTAAAAAAGACATTGAAAACCTTCACTCATCGCTGCCTACTAATGCATCGGCTTACGTCTCAAGTTATTAGTCAAACGAAACGAAATTGTGTTCGAAAGCAATCTGATGAAGTTTTCTTGTCTGATTAGATCATTTTCCAACTATCGAGAACAATAGTCTTAAAAGAATCCAATCATGATATTTCATTTTATAACAGAAATTGTTTTTGTAACAGCTTCATTGAAAATATATATCTTTATCATGTAGATATCTTCATTAGTGACTTCGTTTGTTTTGATATGTCCATGATGCTTTCATGTTCTCTTTTTATTTCTATTTCTTTTTTTTTTGTTTTGCAGGCACTGTTTGTATCGCACTTTGGTGTTATAATTGATTATACGAAGTGTATGAATTACAGATAATCACATTTATTGCAGAGAGGAGCATAATTATTACGTTCTTTAGAGTATATGCGAACAAATATTATTGGTTGTTACCATAGAAGGCACAAAGAAGGCTACCTCTAGCGAAAATATTGAGTTTAGTGTGCATCCCTTAATTGAGAGAGATCTAACAAGATACCCAACAAAATACTCTGATATCAATATGTGTCTAGTATTTGGTTGGATACCATGTTTAAAGTGTTTCTACTAGTTGGATAATTGAACAGCCAGAGGCTTAGTATGTTCAAATATTCAAGTACTCATTGAATACTTGAAAGTACTTAAGAACTGAAAACTACCAGTCAGAGATGGAATCGTTCAGTTAAACATAATCAGAGATCGAACCACCAATCTTGATACTGGTGATATATTAGTAAATTAATATTTTAAACTCAGTATTTTCACTAGGTTAGTAAAAAACAGAGATAGTAATGGAACGAGAAAACTTCTTTGAAGAGTTGCATCTTAGTTTCAAAAATAGATTATTTGTTCAAATCTTACTGAAATACATCGAAAGGTTATATTGATTTGTGAAACTTTGTTGTATATTTACAGGTATATGCAGTGTTTGCAACTGTCCTTGAAGGAACCAGATGCATATTACATATGAATATAATAAATGTTTCACTTATATTAAATAAGAAATGCTAAAGCGAAGATATTGCACTGGCTGTAATCGAAAAATTTGTTAAAGATTTAAAAAGATGAAGAAACATCTATATTAAAAGTATTTAGCCAAGTATCAAGGTTTTTTTTCCATAAAAATACCATTAGTTCGATCAATGATGCTCTTGTTGATTATATTAATTATTTTATTCACGAAGAACAAAAGAAACAAGAAATTAGTGTCGAAATTGGAACCCAAAAAAATTAACATCGTTAGTAAATGATATTGAAATAGAAGGAATATTTACACTTGTTATGAGTTTTTATCAATTCTCTATAAATGGTTGTAAGATTCGAGAACAAAGAGATGATCTGAAAATATCTCAAATGAATATTAGTCATGATCGAAAACGATTTATTCAATTATCACAACAAGCACTTTCATCGAAAATAATGTTACAATTAAAGAATATTTTTTTATTAAAAACAACCAAAAGACCTGATCGACTTAAGTAAAATGTCTTTCATCTAAACTTCAATCAAATTTTTTTCAGTACATATTAGGCTTCTATTTTCGACGCACAAAATTTTCTTCTTTTTAGGTTTATATATTTTGTAACAAAAACTAATTTTTATAATCTTTCAAGGTAAGACAAGTGTTTATAAAGCTATTCTATGTATCATCATAAGAATATTTATGAACAATATATAATTGTTCAAAGAAACTAACATATATTCTGTCATGAGTTATTTGTTCATTATTTATTCAGTATGTTGTATTCTGTATGACTCTAATAGATGACGTTGAAGGTTGAATATTCTAGAAATGATTGCATCGAGATCTGAAGACTTCATCATTTTAAGTACAAAGAAAAACGTGAGAAAAATAGATTGAAAAAAAAAAGATCGTTATTATAGAATTTTTATATTTATTTGATTAAGAAAGGTAACACAACTCTGAGACAGAGAAGAACGACCTTCATGTGTGCTGTCATCAATAGGATACTTCCAATGGATTGTGTTTCGTTTTCTTTTTCTGTTCTTTTTGCATACACTCTCAGCCTCATAGACGGTAAATAATCAAAATTATTCACTTTTTTTTTTCAACAAAGAAAAAAAATAGACTGTTATAAAAAAAGAAAACGTGATAGCAAATAATTGACGACAAGTTGTACTGAGAAGTTAATTGCACGTATGTTGTCATCTAATTTCTTTGCTTGTATAGTTATAATACCTTGATTTGTTACTTCAATTAGTAAGAACGAATACTGCAATTGATATTGATATTGATTACTTTCATAAGGATTCTTTTATTCTCAATGTTACTTCAATTTGATTTTGCCTTGAAAAAAAAGTGCAGTCGTCTATCATTTAAACCCATCGAATTCTTGTAAGTTGAAATCATATATAAACAAAATTTAACATATATATATATATCCCTGCAATATCAAACTGAAAAAGTAACATTTCAAGTTTAGAATAATAAATAATTTTTTGTTATAAATGTGTTGCTTTCTTTTACAAATTATGACGATATTTCTTTTTCCCCTTGAAACTTTTTCTTTTAGAACTACAATCAATAATTTTATTGATTTATGTAAATGAACAATGCACTATAATAAAGTGTACCTTCTTGATAAAATACATCCGTTCGTGAACATGTATGGACAACGAAAAAAAACTGAATCTTTTGTTAGAATTTATATTTTATCGAAGTTTACATATGAAAGTTTTTGATAAATGTAGTGGAAGATTTTGTACTGTTAGTAAAAGAACATTAGACATATGTGGGTCAAATTGGAGCTTTCATTGTCAAACTAACGAGTTTAAAAAATAAGCTGCACATGACATGCACCGAGCGAGATATTAGATTTTATAGATATTTATAATAAATGTAAAACACCCATAAAAAAAAGTTTCAATATAATTTATTTTTCTTTTCTCGTGATAGTTCGATAGAGTTCGTCAAGTTGTATAAGAAAAAATATGCTTCATATTTTTGGTTTATTTTCGTTATGTTTGAAGATAGTGATACCTTGAACGTTTGTCATTAATCTTTTTTTTTTTAATTTGAAACATTCTTTTTCTAATGTAACTCGACGAACTCTATCCAACCATCATAAAAAAAGAAAAATAAATAATATTAAAATTTTTACTTGTGGGTGTCTTACATGTACTGTAAATACTTAAGAAATTCATTATCTCAATTGGTGTGCATGCTATGGACAGCTCATATTTTAAACTTGTTAGTTTGGCATTGTAGGTTTTAATTTGACCTGAATATGTCTAATGTTCTTTGGTAACAATACAACATGTCCCATTGTTAGATCATAGTTCTTAGTCAAAATGATCTTGTCAGGCTCTAACAATGTTGTTAATCATACTAAGCATAATAAAATTTATTTACTTTCAATTATGTTACGACATTGACATAAATGGCATACGTCATGCAAAGGTCAATGAGTATTCTTTATGGACTGGCCCTAAAATTTATTAAAGGTGTTGTACATTCATATGACCTTCTATCAATTCTTCGTTAGACACTTTCTTTTCTGTAAACTACGAACTATTTTATTTTCAAGAATATTTTTTTTATGCTTTCTTTGAAAAACTAGAGTCTTACAAGTAAAATATTAACTTGTTGTTTTTTTTTTTGTAGATTGTGAACTTAAGAATTGTATTCACCAGTAAATACAAGTGAGAATATGGGTGAGACTTCGCGTAATCAATCATGCATGAGCTTTCTCAAACCTCAAAATGGATATCCAATTGAACGAAAAGTGACTGATACTTCAGGTCGATTAGGTTCACTTTATGACGCTTCAACAGATAATTTAATTGATCGACATTCTGTTCAACGAATTAAAAGAAAAGAACCACGTAAACGTTTTATATGTCGGATATTTTCAGGTGATCAATCAAGAGAACTGATTAGTTTTCTAAGAGATATCGACTTTGATGCTGCTATTCGACAAAGTATTTCTCTTCAAATGGTTATACCATCAGGCGTTGGCCGTCTTATTGAATATAATCAACCTATTAATGAGAAAACTCGTTTTCTATATTATGCTTATAGAGCTAGAAAAGAAGAATTAAATGTTAAAGCTCGAAAAGCTGATAAAATCGTTGGAGCACCAAGAGATTCAACTGAGGCGACTCATATGATAACGAAAATCTTATGGGGTATTGAAATTTTATGTATTATACAAATTCCAAATAATCAATCTGTCAATGCGATTGACCACTTACTTTATAATATTTGTAATCAACTTAAACATAATCAGATTCCAATTCAACTTAATGATATTGATCGACGTCTCATGAATCAATTGACTGATATTACTGTATTTGGATCCGAAACATGTGTCGATTCATCGAATACATCAATATCAGCTGTTCTCACTAGAATACAAAATTGGCAAATAGATACGAACTTGCATCAACCACTTATGTATACGATGCAACCATTAAGGTGGCTTTATAGGAGTCCGCAATTTTCCGATCCCTGTACTTTGCCTCATCCAACTGATCCTCATATTGCACGAATTGAAATGATAAGTAATCGTATAAAACATCAGATAAAAGATCTTACAGAAATTATACACAATCTTCCGACAAATTTTTCAAGTGCAACACTTAATCAACGTTTAAAAGATGTTCAACAACAGTATCGTTTTGTATTAGATTCGCAAGATAATCTTCAAGATCGTCTTAAAAGAGTGCTTGCAGATGTTCGTCGGCAACGTGCCAGACCAGTAGTATTAGACAATATTATTGGAGATCTACGTTATGAATGTTTACGTAAAACTGAAATGGAAAAATTTCGGACTAATGTTGAACGATTGTACAATAAATCAATGTTAATCAAAAAATTAAAGAACAATCAAATTGAATATATCAATGCGCTCGATATCCGTCCTAATCAAACAGTAAAAACGACAATTAATGATACTGATGTCTTGCTTAAACGTGCTTATTCTAATGAAAATTTTCCTGTAATTCTTTGGTATACTAGTGATCGTTTAGAACGTATACAACAAGATAATTGGCAACAAATATATCAAGAATTAACTTTAGAACGTCAGCATGCAGCACAACGAATAACTTTAATCTATGTTGATTTTAGTTACTTTGACGAAAGATTAGAAAACTCTATCATTGTACGATTACCATTAACAGAAACACAGAAAAATTACCATGATCGAATAACAGGTAAGAGATCAAGTTAGAAGAAAAAACTCGTCTTTTAGTTAGTTTCATAGATGATATTAAACTCTTTTCTCTAGAAAAAAAGTCCACTAGCTTAAAGCTATTTTTTTATTAAAATTATTTCAACCCGCCTTACTAATCACAATGACTACATAGAATATAAATAAATAACACTCAGTATTCTATCGAACGGATTATCGATAACATATAATCATCATTTCATAATTGATAGTATAGATTCTTGAATATAGTCGTCATCGTATATGTATTCTAATAACTTAATTAATCAATAATAGTCAATCAAGATTAAATCAGATTGTATGAAAATATTGAGAAAGAAAATTTGTATAGTTAACGAATTTTCAACTATTAAAACCAAATAAATATTTCTATTTAGAAATAGAACCTCAACCGTCACGTATTGATTCATCTCCATCATCCGTAAAGAAAAAAGTAAGATCATCATCTCCACAAATCCCAATACCATCTAAACCTCTAACAATACAACCTATACCTCCAATACCACCATCTAGAACTCCAGTAGAACGATCAATCGAAATTAATGTATTGCTCTTGGGAGAAACAGGTGTTGGAAAATCTACATTCATTAATGCATTTGTCAACTACTTAAGATTTGAGAATCTTCAACAAGCTGAACGAGGTGAACCAGTTGTATTAATTCCAGTTTCATTTCTCATTACTACTGGTGATCAATTCGAAGATTTTATTGTCAAATTTGGTAATGTTGATTTAAATGAAAATCATGAACATGAAGGTCAATCAGTAACACAACAATGTAAATCATATGTATTCGATTTGAATGACAGATTACGTTTACGTTTAATTGATACACCTGGTATCGGTGATACACGAGGTACTAATCAAGATGTAAAAAATATTGATCATATATTGAATTATTTAAATAATTTATCTCATTTAAATTCTGTTTGTTTCTTACTCAAACCAAATGCTTCTCGATTAAATATTTTTTTTCGTTCATGTCTTAAACAATTATTAACTTATTTAACACCGATTGGTTATAATAATATTATATTTTGTTTTACAAATGCTCGAGCAACATTTTATGCACCAGGTGATACTGGTCCATTACTTCGAAAATTGCTCAATGATGAACATCTTAATGATATTCCATTTAAAAAAGAAAATACATTTTGTTTTGATAGTGAATCATTTCGATATTTAGCTGCAAGAAAATGTAATGCTGACTTTGATGATTATCAAAGACAAGAATATATTAATAGTTGGAATACATCAGTAAAAGAATCAGTTCGTTTACTTAATTTTATTCAAAGATGTCAACCATATTATCTAGAAGAATGGATATCTCCAAGAAAAGCTACTCTTGATATATCTATGCTTGCTCGACCTCTAATGGAAACATTACGATTAATAATTTATAATTCGAAATTAAACGAAGCGAGATTAAATGCTAATCATATGATGTTAAATTCAAATCCAGTTGACATTGATATGTGTACGCATTGTGCACAAATTAATGTCGTCGAAGTAGGTCCATTTTGGTTAACTCAATATCAGCCATCTATTTTGAAAACCAATACAAGTCAACATCGTCGTTGTCCAACAAATGGAAAAAATTTTTTTATTGAATCTATAGTAACATATGAATTTGTTCCACTATCAGCAGGTCTTAAAAATGAACGATGGCAAAGTTCTTTTCGTAATTTTCTATATAAATGTGATAGACTTCATCATTTCTTACGACAACAAGGACCATCAACTGATGNTATTGTTGCAGAATAAAAACAAAGCAAGCACAACTGTTATCTTTCAGTTTTATTGCTTTACAAACTTGTAAGAAGCAATGACAGCAGAGATTCGGTATTGTAAAGCAAGTTTAGTCTTCAATTGTGTTTGATATGAGTTGGACGGCAAGATTCACAGCACTGCTCTTGCCGAACACTTAATGCCAGATATATATCCAATAGCGTCAAAACGATGACCAGTACGATGTTCAACCAAAACAATGTTAAAATATTAATTAAAGCTTGATTTGGAAAAATACCTGATTTGACTATTACCTGAAGGTAGATTTGAGTAACATCGAAAGAAAATGCAGATCCTGGTGGACAATCGCTAATAGATAAGTTTTCTTTCACAATATAGTACTGGTCTCCAGTCTTCAACAATGTATAATTATCTCGTTGTTCATATTCTTTAAATTGTATGATGTCTCTTGTTAACAGATAAACTGCCAGACTCACTGTCAATATCAACGGGATTACTCTTATTCCTTTATATGCTGTTGGGTGTTTTTTTCTCCATCTATTAAATCTCTCAATGATACTCATCATTGTTTGAACCACTTATATTACTCTGATTTTATTCCGTAACGTAATCTAAAAGTTAACAAACATAAGTAGCATCATTTGAATACTTGACAATGACAGTAATTAAAATCGGTAGCAGATAGTAAATACAATCGATCATGAAAAACAACGAAGCATGAATCTAGTAATTGTAAAACGTGCACCTAATCAGATAATTGAGGAATAAATTTTGACCTGATTATATAAATTGATTGTTTTTGAAGAAGTATTCATGTCGAGATGAAATTTTCAATAAATGCGAAATGACTTTAAATGTACTACGATTGTTTTTCTTGGTCTGCCGAATGTTACTTAAGAGAAATGAACATATTCTCGTTTTGTGACGGAATTCTCGAAGGAAAATTATGCGAACAGAATAAAATCGAAATCCACAATATTGCAATTATTATTTTTAAGCAAAAAAAGTAATATTTACTTGATATTCAAATTGAATAACTTAAGCTAATTAACTAGGCATGCACAGAACCTGGGTACAGACCAGGAATCCCCGGCTCGGTATTCCCGGGGTTCGGTTATTCCCGGTACCCGAAATGCTGAATTTAGTTATTTATTTATTTGGGTCATTGCTAGACACTCGGAGAAGCCAAGAGCATAGCGGGAATACCGAGCCCGAACTTCCAGGAGTTCGGTCATACCTGGTTTCTATGGATGCCTAATGCAGACCAAAGTACATGAATCAGGGTGTGGGTGTGGGTGGGGCACTGGTAGAATTCGTCGCACAACACTTCGTCGCATTCACTTCGTCGCAAAACAATTTGTCGCGTTCTGTTCGTCGCTATCTACTTGTTACATCTCTCTTAATGAATTCTTTTTTTTCTGTAATCAATGGAAATAATATACAGTAAATGATAAATTGGAAGAGAGATATATACAATAACGATAGATAATTAATTGGGAAAAGGGATCAATAAAAAATATTATTCTAATGCAGTCGTGACAGAGCTAAAATGAACGAAGAATAATTAGATTTGTCACTTGGTTAATGAATTGCAACATAATCTAAACTAAAGATAACACTGATTCAATGTCCTTAATTATGGGACCAGGTCAAATAAAAAAATACATTTCGCTTCTCAAGTTCAACTTTCACTGCACAGTACTTTTCAAGAAAAATGTCTCAAATCGAAATACTCTTTTCTGTAAAACGAATACCAATGATCCTCCATGAAGGCTACATCTATACTGAGTGTGGGGGTTCATCTTCTCTTCATCCACACCCACACCCTCTATCAATGTTTTCAATCTACCATTTTCTATTTTCCTCTTCTCGTTAACACATTCAATCCTTTTACGCAAGCCGATCAATATTATATGAGGCCAAGACAAATGGTTTACGGTGCCGATGGACGCAATCTTAATCGCAAACACAATAATAATAAATGATATGGCCATGATGGATACTAAATTGATGCTAATACTAAAGCATTAACATCTTTTAACTTTAAAAAAAAGTAACTATTCAAGTTGAACATGAATCGAAATTGAGACTGTGGTGTTTTGGAAATGTAAACTTCATAATATAAATCTCATTATCATTGAAAATGACACTTAATTTAAAAAACTACACAGAAAATTTGGAATAGAATCATGTTCAAAAGTTAAAAGAACTCATGCACATCATAACTTTTCTAACTAATACTTACCTTTTGGATATTGTTTAAATATGAAAACAATAGAACAATACGTAGGATTTAAGACAGATCTATCATAGAAGGTGTGGGCGAAGAGAACAAACATATCCGACACGGAAATCTACACCCATGCCTGAGAGTGAAACATTTGAGACTTCGATTTTTAAAGTCTTATGAAGACCACAGTTCGCTCTTGGCCACATCTGCAACTTCAAATATTTATAGTGAATAATCTGTGACAACATTGATTTTTGTAAGTCATATAATCTCATTCGGAACAAGTTTCTCTCATTTCGATAAACAGAGTAGTAAAACATTGATTTCTTTTTCACTTTGTCATACACAAAGCTTTGACTCGTCCATACATGATACGCTGTATAAAGGTGCACTGACAGGCAAAACTTTGTAGTCATGATTCGCATTATTGTTGATTTCAACTATATCGATTATATACAGCAATCGTAAACCTTGTATACTGAGATCGAGAGATCGTTTCAAGATCTCATTTTAGGCAATTTCTTAAAATTCTTGACGATCATACTCATAAGAATACTTTCATCGTGAATTTAGATGAATTTCAATTAGCCAGATGGTATATCTACGCGAGGAAAAGTACTGAATGCAGCAGAATATCTGAACAAAATGTTGGGTTGAAAATGCTACATCAAAGATGAAATAGGAAGGGTAAAACGTTCTCTTGATTATAAGGTAAGAAATATATGATTTTGCTTTTTTTCTTCTTGTACACAATTGTAGAATGATATACAAAGTGAAATACAAGTAAGCAATTTAGGGAAAGTTATCTACTACAATCGTTTAGAAGCGGGAAAAGATATGATGAAATGTTTCCATGACTAATTGAATTAAGTCTTTGCTACGAATACTTTAGAAAAACGTTTAGGTAATTTTACTAGATAAAGCTCTTGTTCACGTAATCTTGCAAAAGAATTCTCAATACACAAAACTAAGCAAACTATTGCTTGAGCACCATTTGAACAAAATAAATTTATGAATATTCTCTCTATTCACACTCTTCTTGTATATCTCAATGTCTATCTTTATCCCTCATATGTTGACTCTAAGAATTTCAAAAAAGTCACAAGATAAATTGCATGTAAGTGCGTGCTTGATTCTTATCTGTATCCTGCAATCTTGTTCTTTCTTTCCTGAGCACGCATTACAAGTGAGTTGACTCGACTATTAGAGTGCATATCTTTCACTCGAACTGCTTTATCTACTTGGCATAGTCACATATACGAATAACCAGTCACATTTTTTCACAATGATCTTCAGAGAGCAAAAGAGGAGGTTGGACATTCCTTTTTAATTAAATCATGTATTTCAGACCACTAACAAGTTTATTGTAAAGACGGTAAGATTCATGAATAGTGAACTAAGCTACATAGAAGGAATAAGATGGCTCCGACTGTTCTAAGAAATTCTAGAATATTCCAAAGCTTCCGATGAAATTATACGTGAGTTTCATATGTGAGATTCGAAGGAACTGTGATAGCAAGCTTTTTGATTTATATACCAGGGTATTCAATAGCATTTTAGGCTTTTTCAGGTAACATGGAATGAATTTACGGGCTATTCTTTACATAGTTTTTCTTCTAGCTTAACAGAACATTTAGTTTTGAAATTATGAATAGAATGAGAACAAAAAAGTCTGTTACCTAATCTTTTATCCACATTTCGGAAAGAATGAGAATTATTCAGAATTCGCTTATAACCCTCCAGCCAATAGAATAGGGGCCAACATATATCGTTCTTTGCTATGAGTGGCTTCTCTTTGAATTTTTTTCTTTGCACTACGTAACAATCCTAACTGAGTTCATTATGAATTACAGTCCTGTATCACTTTTTGGTTGAATTGATTGGACAGGTGTGGGTGTGCGTGCAGGTATGAATGGAGAAAAGATCTGAATGCACACCCATATTCTCCTCTTACCTAAACGTTTGAACTAGAAAATTCCGAATTTCTACTGAAATTAAGAAAGAAAACAAGATTATTCATTCATTCAAAAGTTAATCAACGAACAAATTTCCAAGTTTCTTATATAAGGCTTGATTTTTAAAATTGAAACTTTTCACAGGAAAAATGAACTCGATTTTTTCGTTCATTAGTTACGTTTGAGTTGAAAAACTCCTTTACTTGGATGATAATTCAACTAATAATAATATTATTAACCATTTTTTATCAATTCAGAATAAATTTGAAAATGCTCGATATAAAATCCTTCATCCAATTCATAGACTTGTCAAATCGCAATCTATCAAAGAATATTGAATAACTGCATGGATTCCATATGTAAGTGAGTTAAAAATACTCAAACACGAACGTCATTTAGATTTTCGTTGATGAGTAAAGTTTTCTTCACTTAATCTTTTTGACTTGAGAGAAACCGATCAATAAGAATAATCGAAGCATCGGTCTAAGGTATCCGACAAGTTCATAGAATCGAAAATTGTTCACTTTTTACGAACCATTCGACCTACTGTAAACTGGCGCTCGAAATAGTCGAATTGAAATATCGATGTCAATCGGAGAATTCATTTCGAAAAGGAATCGCAGGTTGCAACATTGATCATTCGAAATTTTTTTGTATTTCAAAAAAAGCATTTTTTTTCTTTTTGGGCATGACTACGTTTTTTAGCCGTCGATACTAGTACTCAGTGTGAGCAAACTTTTTCGTTCAAAGCCTTTCTCTTGGGTTTATTTTTAGTCACGGTCTTATCCTTGAAGCATATCTATTGTGACAAAGATTAGACAAAATTAAAA